GTACACTGTCGTATCTGCTGAAAACTGCACCTTCGTTCCCAACTAACAGCCATGAGATTAAGAGTGTCATCGAAGAGTTTTTAGGTTCTTCTGCAACGTCTCTTACAGAACTTAGCTCCGACCACATAGATAGTTTACAAAAGCGAGCTAGCTTCTAAGCACTGAAAACGATTTTGTAATTCCAACTGAAAGTTTTCGCGGCCTTAGATCAGACAACGAGGGGGTCGGACCTTTAGACTTCAACTTCTCCAACTTAGTGTTACGGTCCAGTGTGCCTCTCACCATTCGTTAATAACTACCAGTTTTCACCCTCGTGATCACTGAAACATCACTGAACAGTTACCGTCTCGTCGTCATAATGAAGTTAACCTCAGTGGAACCAACGGCTAGACCAGGTCCACTTTCTGTGGGGCTTCTGGATGAGAGAATTAATCAGCCAGACTTTATTGATGCCTTTTGCTAAGGAACGCTATCCTTGTCGGTACACTTCAATCTTTAGAACATTGTTGACAAGAGACATTTAGCCGATAAACCGGACACCTCCTTGGGATGGATGGTCGCCCTCCCGGTATAGAACAAGTTGCCGGATTCGATGATTACCGTGTCCTCCCTCTGTCTTCAGACTAGATAATCCTATAATATTCCAGCGGAACTTGCTTATCTCCTCTTCCAGCTCTAGGATCCAATGCCTATCTAAAATTAAGTACCTAATTAAACTAACAAAATAAATAAAATAACGTAAGTATAACATTATGTCTCTACCTGCATAAATATATCATTATCGGAGTTTTATACATGAGTTAATTATCGATATATCGAAAATCCGATATTTTAAAAAATATTAACAGTCCTAGTTTGAAGTGATCAGTTGGAATGATCAGTTGAACTAACCGAGTGTGTCGTCTATTAAGGAGTCGTAGTGGTAGAGTCTTAGTGGATGTCTACGTCATAAAAGGCTACTGTCCAAATTTCATAATTTATGGAATCGGGCGTTACTTTGCGGAAATCCATTATATTAAAGTTGGTAAGAATTACTCCGCCCATATTTGCTCAATAAAATAATATGATGTGTCTTACCTAGTTTGAAGAGCACCTCCCCCCTCCCTCTATTTTGTGCAACTCCCAACACGACTATACTAGGAAAGACACCATTTTTACACAATTTTTAGTGTTTCACTTTCACTTTGGAATAGTGGTACTATCGACGATAATACGACACGTGTTTCGCCTCTACACGAGGCATCCTCAGGTGATGTAGACTCTACGGCGGTTGACCGCTAACCGCTAAGTAACTAACTTAGTAAGTAACTAACTTTATTAGTTAGTAACTAACTTTTTTTACACGCTCCCCTATCACATGAACTGTTTGCTCGCTTGTCACCCTTGTTTCAAAGAAATCTGAATAGATCTACATAGAATGGGACAGTTAGGAATTAATGGTTCGGAAACAATTACTCAGTTGCTATTTCTGTTCACGTTATTCAAAGACCGTGTATCAAGCTTAAAAAGTGATATATTGGAAATAGCCATTGTTTTGGTTTAAATTCTTCTACATACCTACTACTTCAGACTTAGACATAATATAGTATGTTATAATATAAATATAGTGGTGGGTGTCCTCCTTTTTGTTTTTACGCACATACATACACACACGCACGCATGCACGCACACTAAGGTACTTGCAAAAAATGGTTTATTCATGGAAAACAAAAGAGTTAGTTTATATTTACAGTTTCTAAAGGCTCCCTAAACAATAGCATGCATTGTGAAATTTACTGTCTTTAGCAAAATGTTAGCCATGATTTGTATGCCGGTGTAGACGATAAATTGCGCGAAACAATCGACCAATTGACATCGCCTATTGCTGTTCGATCGCATGATATGTAGACCAGTTGTACACATTATTCGAATGAACGCTTCTATATGCGTTTATTTTCACAATTACTAATTAAATACTATTTTAAGTTTACAACTCTATTTTTATAAAATATTGTATAACGTTATTAAAGATGCAGGAAAAATCTTAAGGAAGAAATATTTTAATTTAAAAATGAATATTAAATCGACTAAAGTAAAGTATTACATTTTATTAAGTCTATTATTCGACAAATGTTTCGGGAACTATAAAAGTCGAACCTGCTTCCATTCTTCAAAAAATGTAGACCAAGCGGCAAAATATAATTAATTAAATGGGAGACGCATTTTCTAAATTAATGTACTTTTTATTATTCTAAATTATTATACAATATAAAAAACTACATACATCTTGCTTATAATGAATTTATTGTTAGTTTTAATGTACTGTCACTATTCACATACCTATCTACTGAAGACTGAATCTCAATTGTAAGAAAGAAGTTAAATAGGAACAACATATTACCCGCTGAATATGTAGTATTACTATAGTACGCCCAACTAGCAGCGATACGAAAGGTCATTTAACTTAAAAACGACTGTGGAGTTGACAATCTATTATCTATCTCTTTCCATTTTGTGTATTTGTCGTAATGTCTCGTTATCCCGGCAAAAACATGTCAGGGTCGAGACAGGTTCGCCAACATTCGGGAGATCATTTTAGTAATTGTTGTTTATTTAATTATTGTTATTTTGTTTTGTTGCTAATTGTTTTTTATTAAAAGTGGTTAATGATGGAGTCACTTGGTTGTGGCTGGCTGTGATGTCGAGAGACAGATCAACAGATTTTACTTATCCGAAAAGGAAACGTCAAAAGGTATGTATGTATAGGAATAGGGCATATAAATGTTGTTTAGTAGTGTTACGAGCTTAGGGTTCGTGACAGTAACAAAATGCCGATTGAAATACCAAAACTGACACTTTAATTACCGAACACCAATTAAAACATAAAACACACTAATAATAATTAATCACACTAAACACTTTAGTTCGCAGGTACTTATATTGCTTCGAAGTCGTCAATTGTATCGCCAATTCAATACTTACTCGTTCGCGGCCCTTACTGGCTATAATATAGGACCTTTTTCACTAAAACATCTAGAATGTTCGAGTAGAATGGCGAAAGTTCTAGCATCGAATTTTCTAGAAAGCTCTCCTAGTTCTGCTACTTGATAGTAGATGGCGCTAATAATAACACGCCATGTACCAGGCATTAATTATGGCGCGCAACAGTAGTTTTAATTAAAACTTCATGTTTCGGAGTGCACTTTAAAGTTATCTTAAAGTTATTAAAAAACAGTAGCTGTAATAATAAAACTTTTCTTAATTTATTAAAGATGCATGTAAGTAATAATTTTAGGTGACTAGTTTTACTGTGAATGAAAAAAATGGTTATTATTAAAACATGTGCCAAGTGCCAATTTAAGTTAAGTATTGGGTGTGCAAGTTTGAAGAGACTGGAAATACAATACCGGACAAATCGTCTGAGCGCAAAAGGACATCAAGAACGAGCATGAACGTCGACCGCGTTCGCCAGTCTGTTATGAACGACCCACGACAGTCGTTGAGATTGCGCTCAGCTTCTCTTAATTTGAACAAATCTACGGTCATCGCTGTAAACGATATAATCGAAAGACTTACATTTCCACCCCTATAAAATTGTTATTGTTCAAGAAATGAAGCCTGATGATCCTGATAAACGAGTCGAATTCTGCAGGACAATGAAAAACCATTTTAGGAGTTTCAGTAACATCTGGTTCTCTAACCAATCGAATTTTCACATCAACGATCACGTTAGAACTGCATCAGAAGCGTTTGATGCAAGCGATAGTTTTTAAAACCTTAGGTCTTCTTCTAGAACAGCCAATTAAATTTGTGACGGATTATTGGTTAGCTAATAGTATTCTTGTTCTGTGGATTTGGTTTTGCCTCATTGTGCGTGTATTGTATCAAAGTGATCTTATTGAAAATTCGAAAAAAAAAATTAGTCAAAAGTTGTTGTTTGGGCTGCCATATCAAGTCAAGGAATTATAGGTCCTTATTTTTTGGAGGTCGAAATCAGACTGTTAATTCTGATCGATATTGCCATATGATCTGGACTTTTTTTGGCTACAGAAATGCAAAACCAGTATGGCTACAACCGCAATACTATATATAATATTATATTTTTCCAGCAAGATGGAGCCACTTCTCATGTTACAAATGACTCATTAGCTGCTCTTCACGATTTATACCCTGGAAGAGTGATAAGTCGCCAAGGAGATATTAACTAGTCACCGAGGGGCTCTGATTTAACGCCTGCAGATTTTTTCCTATGGAGCTACCTAAAAAGTAAAGTTTACAATTCATTGCCACCCAACCTGAATGTTTTGAAGCAAAGAATCACTGAAGAAATCAACTCTATTCCAAGAACGATGCTCCAGCGAGTGATTGAAAATTTTAGCTTCAGGTTAAATGAGTGTGAACAAGTGAATGGTGCGCATTTTCTAATGCTTGTTTTTCATAAATAAACTTCAAGAACTGCTCTTTAATTCAACAATAAATAAAACGAGTTTTAAATGATATTTTTTTATTTAACATAACATAAAAACGAAAAACATTCTAAGACACTCTTAACTTCTTGTTTACAACTTCAACTAACAGAATCATATATAGTAGAATATTTACTTCTAAAGTAAGGAAAATAATATACTGAATCCGAATTTTTTAAAGTTCCATAATCGGATTAAAGTAGCCGAGAAGTTGCTTGGGTCACTAACTAAATCCGATAAGTAGTTTGGGTGTGTATAGTGAATACACAAACAGACAGACAAATAGACAGACAGCCGGACAAATAAAATATATAAACCAATAATTTGGATTCAGTATCCTTTATTAAGTCCCCTAGACTTGTTTTTTTCCAAGAAATATTAGAATTACAGATAAAATTTTATTAAAATTACAAACATGTAAGCAAAGATAATTTATATTAAAACAGTTGTAAACTACAGATACAAATAATGAAACAATATTATAATTTATTAAAATCGTATTAAATAAAGACCATCTAAATAGGATATAGAACTAAACTTATAGTGCGATCTAAATTATTTGCTTTTAAGTTTATATTTATCATATAGAATTTCTATACCCAGTACTACAGTGCAAGCAAAATACCACATTATTAAACCGAAAAACAAGGCACTAAGCGATGATAACCTTAAAGGCACTGCATTTCCTTGATTACTAAGTTTTATTTTAGACCATTTCGATTGGTAATCACGTTTTATTTTATCTAAGAAGCCAGATTCAGCCACTTTAGCTATGAGATTTTTGACTTCGTTTGCAGCGGGCCAGCGAGGTCGCATGTAAAAGCATACTGGAATCCATATCACATGGTCATCAATGATTTGGACTTCTTGGTTATAATATTTAATTAGTAGTACATCCGTACCTAAAAGAAATCTTTTACCGCTACCAACTCTCTTGATATAAACCGGTAGGTCTTTAAATGTTAATGGTTGATAGTTTTTCTCTATACACGTATTACGATAAAATTCTATAAAACCCGACAAACCTCCATGTCCTTCAACGTTGCTTAAAGCTTTTTCAATAGTATTTAATGGTGGTTCTAAAACTTTTTTTTCGAACCTTTCAATAAGATCACTTTGATACACTACACGCACAATGAGGCAAAACCAAATCCACAGAACAAAAATACTGTTAATTAACCAATGACCCGTCACAAATTTAATTGGCTGTCCAAGAAGAAGACCTAAGATTTTAAAAACTATCGCTCGTATCAATCTTCTCGAACTTCTCTTGGTTTTTCCAAGCCAAAGTACAAACTTAACCCGTCCGATCAATAGCAATAAGGATAAAGTAAGTAATGGAGTGGTTGTTGTATAAAATGGCAGAAACACTTTAGCCCATGCGTAAATTTCGCGCCTCTTCGGAACACACCAGACGATGTGCAAAGCGTTGTAAGCATATGATATCTGTGCTGCTGAATACCTATTGAAGTGCAGCATTATAGCAGGTGCCATGATATCGGCTAAGTTGTTTACGAGATCACCGAAAGAACCTGTTGCACTACCGTTAGTAAAGTTTCCAGGTCCACCGTGATCTGCTGACGCTACTATATCCATAGAAGCGTTCAGTCTTTCCAATAACAAGTTTAATATGTTTCCATCTATTCCACTAATGTGAACAACTCTGCCATTATTGGTCATAAATATGGTATAAGGCACGTATTGCAATATCGTGATTCTTACAGGGCAACCTTGAAAGTTTTTATACTTTCTGATAAAATATTTACTTTCACTTTCTGTTAAAGTTATTGGATTATAGTTACCACACTTTCCTTGGCTGAAAGGAATATAAGTTGTCATTGTTTTAGAGTTATGTCCAGCATATGTATTTATTACTATTATGTTACCGACGTCATTCTTCCAGGCCACTTTTGTCACATCACATAATAGAGAATTTACAGTAACTGGCACGGTCAAAATTAATACCATGCTGATGTGTGTTACAATAGTTGGTTTAACCAAATCAAGGAAATATTGAAATTCATCAGGATCTGTCGCAAATAATACTGTTTGCGTGTATTTAATTTGTTTATAAAATACACTTTGGTTTACAGTTTTTATTTTATCAATAGCAACTGTTATTACGGAACCACAAAATCCTTCCAAAAATTCATTAATATATTCTGTAGTAGTGCCCCACCAAACTATGCTTGTTACTTGCCGTTGTACAAATACTTCATTAGCTATTGACGTTGCTTTGTTTATTAGTTTTAAACAGTGACTACTTAATATAGTTTTTAAAAACAAAAAATAAATTAAACGAAGCATTTTCATCGCTAAACTGGTAACGATTTCTTTGCTAAAGTAGCAGTGTAGAATAACTAGATGTGTGTTTTATACTTTTTTCTTTCTGTTTACTTATAGTTTCAACGAATATAAGTAACGCTAGTAAATATCAATATTAATGAATGAAAGTAAAACAATCCAAACCAATAAAATATAACCACAAATTTTTGGTAGCAATACAATATTTAGTTAGGATTCTCATGTTTTATTGACATGAGGGTTGTGAATATTTTGTTGTACTTTTGTTTAATGTTTACTATTCCTGACTAAAATATACTTTATATTTTATGCTGAGTTCAAACCATAGAATAATATAATACACAATAGAATGGGTGCCAAACACACGCAATTACGTCGTATTATCAATTAGCAATACTGCAAATCCGATTCGCTGTGTTGACAGACTGAGCGAATTTACACATTTTAGATTTTTAATTAATGTTTTTGACACATCGATACTCCTTTATTTTTGTAACTAATATTCAGAAAATATAAATAGTTTCGACTTACCTGTTGTAAGATATGCAAATTCCAATTAGATATTTAAATTCCATTTGCTGCTGTTTTTTCAACACGTAATTATTGCACAATTTGCAATTTTTTAAGTAATTGGCATGCAGTGACGCTTGACACGAAAATTGGAAAGAGTTGTAACGTCAAAACACATCTCGTGTTGACATTTATAAGTGTGAACTGACATGTTAGTGGCTACACGGGCTCCGTCCACTCCCCCATTCAATTACGTATGTATTATAGTATTTTATGGTTCAAACAATGCTTTATTCTGCTATACTACTTACAGCGTTATTTTGCAAAGATTAGTCCGGGGCATCTAGGCAGTAACGATTTCTGAAATACTTTTCAGAAATCGTTACTGGTGACGAGCCACGGATCTATCGATATGATCCGGAAAATAAAAGGTAATCATCACAATCATGGGTCTATTCAGAAGGACAGTTACCGACAAAACTACAAAGACCTTGTAACGTCGGCAAAAAATGGTGGCTTGTTTTTTTTTCGCGGAGCGGACATTTGTCGACGTCAATGCTGGAAAATTATAGGTCTGTCAACTCTGAATGGTTGCATTACCCTACAGTTGCATTACCCAAAGCTTTTCAATGTAAAAATAAATTACTTTTCAAATATAATTACTTTTCAAGGTGTGCGGGAGAGAAGACCAAAGACTGGGCTTCGGCGAATCATGCTGCATTACGATAACGCCTCTTCACATACCTCCCTTAGAACAAAAGCATTTATTGAGAAATCTGATACTGAAACTCTAAGTCACTCACCTTGCAGCCCTGACTTAGCTCCTTGTGATTTCTTTTTGTTCCCAAGAGTCAAAGAAAAAAGAAAAGGCAAGATTTTTTTCAAGCGCCGAAGAAGCCGTGGCTGCCTACGAAGAAGCGGTTTCCGACCTGTCAGATCAAGACTGGCAAAAGTGTTTTCAGATTTGGTTTAGGGGAATGGAACTTTGTATAGAGCATGATGGAGAATATTTTGAAAAGATTTAAAATAAATATTAATTGTATCTAGAATATTTTTTGTATATCTCAAAACTTATTGAGTATCCTACGTATCCCTATAACCTTTCGCGCAAGTGCAACAAATAAGTTGACAAAGTTTTAACGCAATTTGATGAACGGTATGGCTGCGTATAAAACACGAACAAACAAACATTAATTTTTGTTTATTAGATAAACGTGTCCATAAAAATAAATACTATTATTTTTATGGACACGTTTGCCGATATTTTTTTATAGAAGAAGGGGCAAACGAGCATGCGGCTCACCTGATGTTAAGTGACTACCGCCGCCCATGATCAATCGCAACACCAGGGGAATTGCAGGTGCGTTGCCGGCCCTTTAGTAAGGAGTACGCTCTTTTCTTGAAGATCCCCAGGTCGTATCGGTCCGGAAAAATCGCTGGTGTTAAGCTATTCCACAGAGAGGTTGTACGCGGAAGAAAACTCCTCTTGAAACGTACAGTGGTGGACCGCCAAGCATCCAGATGATGTGGATGGTATCGCGACGTTTGCCGCGTGAACGCACTGTTCACGAAATTTGGTGGCTGGGATTAATCCGAACAATTCCTCAGAGCACTCTCCATGGTATATGCGAAAGAAAATGCAAAGAGATGCAACATCTCTTCGCAGTACCAGTGAATCGAGCCGATCGGAAACCACTCCGTCGTCGACGATTCAAGCCGCTCTGCGCTGGATGCGGTCAAGTGGAAGGAGCTGGTACTGGGGAGCCCCAGCCCAGAGATGGGAACAGTATTCCATGTGCGGCCGAACCTGCGCCTTGTAAAGTTGCAGGCGGTGTGCCGGCATGAAATACTGTCCCGTTCTGCTGAGCACGCCAATACTGGCTGAGGCCAATTTGGCCTTCTCTTCCAAGTGACCACGAAACTGCACGTCACTCGATATGTCGACGCCGAGGATTCCGATACTGGCTGAGGCAACAAGGGGAGTGCCTTGAAACTGAGGAGATACGACAAAGGGGTTCTTTTTAGCGGTTAACGCGCAAACTTATGTCTTCTGGGGGTTAAACTGGACTAGATTTAGTCGCCCCCAATCCGAGACTCTGTTCAGCAAAGACTCGACTTCAGACACAAGTTTGTCCCGGCACTCGGAGACGTTTTCCCGAGAAATATTGGCTCGGCCGGTGTAAAGAGCATCACCAGTGCTGTCATCTGCATAGCAATGAATGTTACGGGTTTGCAACATATCATTGATATGCAGAAGTAACAGCGTTGGCGATAGCACGCAGCCTTGTGGAACACCAGCATTAATAGGCTTGCAATCGGAGCTTGCACCGTCTACAACGACCTTGATGCCCCGATCTTCAAGAAAGCTGGTGATCCAATCGCATAATTTCTCGGGAAGCCCATAGCAAGGGAGCTTCGAAAGAAGCGCTTAGTGCCAAACCCGATCGAAGGCCTTCGCAATGTCCAAACTGACGGCCAATGCCTCGCCCTTGGACTCTACTGCCTCCGCCCATCTGTGAGTTAGGTAGACCAGAAGATCACCAGCTGACCGACCACGGCGAAAACCGTATTGGCGGTCGCTAATCAGCTGGTGATCCTCAAGGTACCTCATGAGCTGGCAGTTTACAATGGACTCCATTGTTTTGGAGAACAAGGAGGTGATGGCGATAGGCCAGTAGTTGGACGGGTCTGAGCGGTCGCCTTTTTTAGGGATCGGGTGGACGAAAGCCGTCTTCCATGATTTTGGGACTACGCCTAGGGAGTAGGAGTACCGGAAAAGACGCGTTAAAACCGGTGCCAACTCTGGAGCACACGTCCTCAGCACAATTGGAGGGATTCCGTCAGGCCCACTCGACTTGTGGATGTCCAGGGAGAGGAGTGCTTTGCGAACCGAGCGCTGTGTGAACTGCACTTCCGGCATGGAGCACTTACACCGCGGGATGGTCGGCGGCGTACTCCCCCCGTCATCGAGAGTCGAGTTGGACGCAAAGAAAGAGCCTAGAAGATCGGCTTCTTTTGCGGTATGGGCCAGTGAGTCGTCCTCCCTGTGCAGAGATGACAGAAATTCCCCTGGACAGCCTTGGCGAGAGACCACAATGCACGAGTTCCAGAAGGAAGGCGAACTAGTTTCTCGCCAATTCTGCCTATGTGGTCTGACTTTGCCTTGGCAATGACTCTTTTGAAGGACGAGAGGCGGAATTATACTTCTTTTTTAGAGCGCTGGTGTTTACATCCCGGGACGTTGATGCGTCAGCCCAGGCTTGATAGCACTCCTGCTTATAGCATGATGCTATTTTACAGGAGCGACCAAATCATGGCTGAGATTTGCCTCCAATGGGCACCACAGAGGAAGGAATAAAAAGTTCCATACCCTGAAGTACCACATCAGTGACAGAATCCGCAACAACGTTGGGATCGTCCGGCGAGAAGCAAACCCGCCCCCAAAGGGTAGGATGCAAAGAAAGACCGCATTCCATCCCAATCGGCTGACCTATAGTGCCAAACACGGCGGCAGCCTGCAGATTGCAACTGCGATTTCAGCGTGAGTGGCACCACACTCCGAACAAGACAATGGTTCGAGGAGCCTAAAGGAGCGTCAACGGAAATCTGATATCCGTCCGGGTGAGAGGTCAGCAGAAGCAAACATCTGGAATCCGCGTAGGCGAAGTAACCAGTTGTGTCAGACCATATGCTAAGGCAAAATCATGAACAGATCTCCCCGCATGATCGGTTAAACGTGAATTAAGCCATTCGGCGTGATGGGCGTTAAAGTCGCCGAGGATCACGATCTCTGCGGAGGGGATCTGCTGTAGCAACGAATCTGTAGCCATTTGGACGTGGTCGAAGAGTCGGTCTGTTTCGGCATTACCGCTATGGGACCTATAGAGGCACCAGTAGACGCGCAGATGGTCGTCGCTGTCTACGCGTAGCCAAAGGATGGACAGGTCCGAACCTTCAAGTCTGCCGAGGCGTCGAGAACAGATGTCCTCTCTGACGTAAACGCAAACTCCAGCCCGAGGCACAAAGGAGTGTTCCAGTTTGTACCCCGGGTAGGAGAGATACGAGACATCAGCCGGAGAGGACACCTGCGTCTCGGTCAGAAAGAGCAGAGCCGGCCTCGCCGTCTCGAGATGGTAGTGGACGGCGTTTAGGTT